ACAGCCCCTTCAAGTAGATCTCCGGCTTTTTTGTTGGGGCAATATATATTGGCTAAAGTACACTCGATTCCCTGTAATTTACCTTTCAAAAATAGGAATCTCCCCTCCGGATCAGTTCTTCTATCCTCCAGCTCGAATCTCATGTTCTTTGCCAACCCTATTGCCACCCCTTTTGCTCTTTTAATTGGGGAGTCAGCATAATACCATGTTGGATAATATTTTGATTTTAATTTCACATTTGACTCTATCTCAAAATGTGTTTCCTGTAAAAATACAACTGACGATGCCCTGTGGTGTAGCTCTTTAAACAACTTAAATCTTTTCCCAGGACAGTTCAACCCATTCACATTATATGTTATAACCTGTATTTCTTCCATCCTTCTTAAATCTGTCTATCTTTCTTCTAATAAACCTCTTTCTATTAGGCCCTTCTATCGTGCAACATTTTAACCCACCTCCCCTCCCCCCTCATCCTCCCACCCGACCCCCATCTCCCACTCCCCCCCTCCCTCCCCCCCCCCTCTCTTTTTTTTCCCCTACCCGTTTTTAGGCTTATAAACTGCCTACAAATCATTTGTGGATCTATTTCCACCTTTGATTTAAGACTTAGGGCGTAAGCTCCGCCCATGGACGGCTCTCCTCTCCTCCGACCCCCCCAGATCTCTTCTCTCTAACGTCCAGGCTCAAGAAGAATCTTAACTTCCCTCCCTTCACCAGAATGTTCTGAGGGACCTCAACATCCGGAGGGGAGAGATCAGGGGCGAGAGACGGAAGCAGGAGAGAGAGTAAAAAAAAAAAAAAAAAAAAAACACATAATTTCTACTTAATTCTCCCTCCCTTCCCTCCCCAACCCCAAAATCTCCCTCCCCCTCCCCCCGACCCGCTGCCAGTCCTCTTTCCTCGTAACATCTGTATCTCCTTTATCTTCTTCTTCTTCTTCCCACCCCGCCATCTCAATTCTTTGCAAATCCAGTCTCTCGCAAAAGACCCTTAGTTCCTCCGAAATCTCAAGTAGGCTGTGACCCCGTTTTCCAGCCAATCAGAGATGCTGAGATACCCCATCTATACTGCACATTCTGTTTCCTCATTTGCTCCAACAGGGGTCTCAGGGATCTCCTTCTCCATAGGGTCTCTGCTGTTAAGTCTGCATAAATTTGGATAGTCAAATCTCTATACTTAATTAATGATCTTCCTTTGGTCTTCTTCCAAATCTCATCTTTGACCCCAAATTTTTGGAACTGTACAATTATGTCTCTCGGTCTTTCCTTCTCATTAGCCTGTTTGAGCTTTCCTATTCTAAACACTCCGTCTAACTTGATCCCGTCTGTTTCAGGTCTATCTCTTATGGAGTTAAAGATTTTTTTCACTAGTTCATATAGTGTTTCGCCTTTTGCAGTCTCTGGAATTCCTCGTACCCTAAGGTTACACCTTCTTTCTTTATTTTCTTGGGCTTCCATCCTATAGATCAATTTTTTCTGAATGTTTTCCTGTTGGTTTATTTTTTTCCTTAAGTTATCGAAGTTTTGAGCTTGAATTTTAACTTTCTCCTCTGTTTCTTCTATTCTTGAAAGCAGGTGCCCTAGGTCATTGCGAATAGCTGTCATTTCATGTTTTATCATTTTTTCCAGGTTCTGAAACATTTCTATCATCTCCTTCTTGTTTGGTGCTTGTAGTTCCCCATCTGATTTTCTTTTTCCCGAACCGTCCTCTATTTGTTGGCTGCAGCTGCTATTCATGCCCAATGATAACCTCGGACTATTACCTGAACTAATGTCCATTTCCCCTTTTGTGCTTGTGCCCTGGGCCCTTTCTGGCGTAATATTTCCATATGATGTAAATTTCTTTATTGTTCCTGTTTGAGACCCTTTGGGCCCTGCTGCCTTGGGACCCTTATTCTTCATATCCTCTGTGAAATTTCTGTTATTAAAATTTTTTTTTTTTTTTTTTTTTTTTTTTTTTCCTTCTATATCTTCAAGATGGGATTGTACCTCTCCTTTATAATTTCTGTACCAGACAAACTTGCAATTTTTTATGTTTTATTTTCCTAGGACACCTGAGCCTCCTCTCTTCTTCTCTTCTTACCCCTGGAAATCCTCCCCTCCCCTTTCACCTCCTGGTCTCCTATGTCACTCTGGGATCCACAACACAGCAACACAATAAGTCTCCAGTAGTTCTCACTCACCCTTCCCTTCTCAAGACGGTAGCTCCATGCTTGTACGGGGGGCCATCGCTACTGCTCAATCCTGGGAGGGGGGATTTCTCAGGGTTTCCGATGATGTGTTATTTTTCTTTCCCTCTTCTTTTCCTTTCCTTTTTCCTCTCTTCTTCTTTTCCTCCTTAGGGTTCGTCCCAAGGAGGCAGGATGGGAATCCTGGTATTCCTGGCTCCACCAGGTCCAGGTGCGGACATCCAGATAGGTTAGGGGGGTATAGGCAGCAGTGAGCGTCTCCCTATCACATCGGGGAGACAGCCGGCTTCCAATTTCCCACGCCTCTCCCTTCCCCCTGTCCGCCTTAGGCCGGCCGGCGTCCCTGCTTCCCAGGGATGCACCGCGGCTGGTCACGTTGCCCCGGTCGCGCCTCCTCGTCTCCCGGCAACCAGGCTCAGCGTCCCAGTCTCTCTCCACTACTCTCCGGCTTCAACCGCGCACCGCTGCCCATTGAAGAAAGCCCCCCAGACCGAGGTATTTCTTTGCCAACTAGGGCTCCATACCGCTGGGGGGAATTAAGACCGAATAGAGGGGGGGTCGGTCAGAGAGGGCTCGTGCGAGAGCTCCTAGCTCGAGCTCTCCGCCGCCGCCATCGTCAGGCTCCACCCACGAATAGAGCTTTCTTTTGGTGGTATTTAGTCACCACTGGGTTTTGTATTTTTTGCTAAATAAACTAAAAAAACTGAAAATTTTAAAGAAAGCTTTGTCTCTGTTGTAAATATTTGCAAATAATCTTCATAAATTTAGGCCAATATGTACTCTACATTTCTTTTGGTGAAAATATCCCTAATAAGTGTATATTAAGTCTGTAGGAGTCAACAAACTATGCTACATATCTTAAAAAGTGATCAATTCTGATCTACGGATGGCCTATCTAGTTTCTTGAGGCTCAGACATGTCAGGACAGTGTAAATACTCCCCAAATGACCCCTTTTTGGAACGTAGACAGTCCAAGGTATTTAGCAGGAAGCATGGTGAGTTTTGTGAAGTTGTAATTTTGTTATTTTTTGGAAAATGAAGAAAAGAAAACATTTATTTTTACATCATGTCAGGAGTGCAGTACAGCATCATCATATAATTGGTGTAATCAGGGACACTCACCGGTGACTGTATGTACAAAAAAAAAAAAAAAAACCCTCAGGAGTTGCTGAAGTTTTGGATCTCCAATAGTTCTGCACAGCCAGGCAAAACGCATTTTCACATAGACTTGCATCCTGGAGTCAGTATCCAGTCCTTGAGCTTTGTTTTGGGGATTTTATTAGGGGATTGTAACTTGGATAGGGTTAGGGGTGTATGGGATGCCCAATGAAATTGTAACTGAGGACATTCTTCCTTAACTATGTAAAAGTCTTTACACAAAAATCCTCTTCTTGGAGAGCTAGCCAGCATCTCCTAATGCAGGGTTTCTTAAACACCGCACTGCAGGTGACTTCATTGCCTTTGTGATTTGCATGTAGGTGCCAATGCATTGTTAACGACATCCCAAATACAGTGTGTTTGAAGGCACCAGATTGCATGGTACCCGTAGTACCATGTGGTTTGGTGCCGAGTGTTTTTTAAAAGTAGTACATGCACTGCTTTTTCTACACTCCAGTGTGATTTGCAGCCCATTCGAATGAATGGCCTGTAAAATCACACTGCACGTTCCCCTCTCTGCAAACCTTTGCACACCAATCCCACTCTGCCCACCTTTGGACCCCAATTGTCTTGCTAATCTCTTTACCCCAGAACCCTTCTGCTCACCTCTGCACTGCAATCCCCCCTCTTCTCACCCTGTACCCCAAACCCCCCTTTCTGCTCACCTCCATATCCCAAATCCCCATGTCTGCTCACCTCCATACCCTAACCCCCCCCCCCCCCCCCCCGTTCACCTCCACACCCTCCTCTCTGCTCACCTCTGTACTTCAATTCCCCCCCTTGCTCGCCTCCACACCCCAAACCTTCTCTTTGCTTAGCTCCACACCCCCCTCTCTGCTCCCCTCCACCCCTCAAAACTCCTCTCTGCTCCCCTCCTCCCCTCCCCCTCAAACTCCTCTCTGCTCCCCTCCACCCCCCCTTCTCTACTCCCCTCCACCCCCCAAACCCCTCTCTGCTCACCTCTACGCCCCTCTCTCTACTCCCCTCCACCCCTCAAACCCCTCTCTGCTCCCCTCCACACCCCCCTCTCTGCTCAGTATACATTCTAGCATGGTGCCTGCGTGCCGGGATGACTGAAATTCTGCACATGTTCAGGAACTACATCATCCCATGCTGGCCAATCAAGATGGCTGATAACTGGCACCTGGAAGAGGAGGTGCATTTGCCAGCAAGAGGCCTCATGGGTGTCAGATCTTGAAGCTAAGGTAAGTATTATGGACTTTAGTTTTGAAAATGAAAGCTAGAAAATGATAGGTTGTTGTGCACAGCTGCTCCAGATTCTGTCTTCTCCAGTCTTAGTAAATCCCCCTGTGTTGAGATACACTGAACCTAAAAGAGGGACAACAGAGGGGAATGGAGGGAGCTGGTTTCAAAATGGGACATTTGAGATCTGTGCTTACTATTGAGTGTTCCTTCCTCTTCAGAAATGGGAACCTGTGTTTCATATATGTACCTTTAGGACTTGTTCCCATGAGCGTACTACAGTGTACACTGATGTGATGGACATGTTTATCTGCATGGGGATGCACAGTTGTCTCATGCATCTCTGTGCAAGGCCGTCCCATTCATGTCAATTGGGAAGCAGGAGCTGCATGGACACAGAGGCTGTTCCTAATTTGGCATGTGGGTGCACGGCCCCGAACACATACTGTCCAACTGGAATGATTAGCACTGCCTGCATAAAACACCTGTGCATCCTTGTGTGGGGGAACAGCCCTCACACAGACATACGTTCTAGTATGACCGTAAGGAGAAGGCCTAATAATAAGAATGCATACACAATGCATTATCATCCAGCTAACATGTACATCCACTTCAGCTCCAGCGATGTACTCATGCGCAGGGGCGGACTGACAACTCATGGGGCCCCCGGGCAATAGGGGATCATGGGGCCCCTGTGTCCTTGCCCAAACTCAAAAAAGCCTATGAAAAAGGTACCAGGGGCATCTCATGGGGCCCCCTACTGACCCCGGGCCCACGGACACTGCCTGAGTTTCCAAATGGTCAGTCCGCCCCTGCTCATACGTCGCTGGAGTTTGAGCCATTATACCGGGATCATCCCGTTACTGCTTTTTAGAGCTGACGGTTGGCTCTCTTGTAATAGCAATCTAAGCAGCTAACTTGTTGCTTGATTGCTATTACAAGCAGTGGGAGGGGACATCACTATACACTATATTGCCAAAGGTATTGGGACGCCCGTCTTTACACGCACATGAACTTTAATGGCATCCCAGTCTTAGTCCATAGGTTCAATATTGAGTTGGCCCACCCTTTGCAGCTAGAACAACTTTAACTCTTAGGTGAAGGCTGTCCACAAGGTTTAGGAGTGTGTCTGTGGCTGGGGTAGGCAACCTGTGGCTCTCTAGCTGTTGTGGAACTACATTTTCCATGAGGCATTGCAACATTACAAAACTGACAGTTACAGCTATGACTTGCAGAAGGATGATGGAACTTGTAGTCCTGCAACAGCTGGAGAGCCGCAGGTTGCTTACCCCTGATCTATGGGAATGTTTGACTATTCTTCCAGAAGTGCATTTGTGAGGCCAGGCACTGATGTCGAATGAGAAGGCCTGGCTCACAGTCTCCGCTCAAATTCATCCCAAAGGTGTTCTATTAGGTTGAGGTCAGAACTCTCCACTCCAAACTCACTTATCCATGTCTTTATGTACCTTGCTTTGTGCACTGGTGCGCAGTCATGTTGGAACAGGAAGGGGCCATCCCCAAACTGTTCCCACAAAGTTGGGAGCATGAAATTGTCCAAAATGTCTTGGTATGCTGACACTTTAAGAGTTTCCTTCACTGGCCCAACCCCTGAAAAACAACCCCACACCATAATCCCCCTCCACCAAACTTTACATGTGGCACAATGCAGTCAGGCAAGTACTGTTCTCCTGGCAACTGCCAAACTCAGGCATGTCCATCGGATTGCCATACCGAGAAGCATAATTGGTCAATCCAGAGAACACGTCTCCGCTGCTCTAGAGTCCAGTGGTGGCATGCTTTACACCGCTGTATCTGACGCTTTGCATTGCACTTAGTGATGTAAGGCTTGGATACAGATGCTCGGCTATGGAAACCATACCTCCCAACTTTCTGAGATAGGAAACAGGGACCTATTAGCAAAAGTATGTAGGCATAGTACACACCCTCTATCCTGCCCCCTTAAAGAAGAATTATACCAAAAAATTATTAGTTAAACCAACAAGTGCTTTTTTGTACCACTACTATTCCTTTATACTGGCTTTTGAAATTTACAGATGCAGCAATTTAGAATTTGGATGAAATGTGAAACACTTTTTGAAATATAAATAGTGCATTTATTGTACAACTATATAGATCAGACCAAGATAGATATACAAAGGTCAAAATGAGGGACAAATGAGGAGGAAAGAGGGACTTTGTTCCAAATTATGGACAATTGGGAGCTATGCAGAAACCCTTTCCATGAAGCTCTCTATGCACTGTTGTTGTGCTAAACTGAAGGACACACAAAGTTTGGAGGTCTTTAGCTATTTGCTCTGCAGAGAGTTGGTGACTTCTGCACACTGTGTTCTTCAGCATGCGCTGACCCCGCTCTGTCATTTTACATGGCCTACCAATTTGTGGCTGAGTTGCTGTTCCCAGCTGCTTCCACTTTGTTATAATACCAGTAACAGTTGACCGTGGAATATTTAGTAGCAAGGAAATTTCACGGATGGACTTATTGCACAGGTGGCTAAGCAAACCTACTACAACACTTTCATCAAGACCCTCTCATCCAATCCTCATCAACTCTTCTCTACCCTTAATTCCTTACTCCACCCCCCACTGCCTCCACCCACCAACTTACTGCACAGCAGATTGCCAGTCATTTCAAGAAGAGGATCGACACAATTCATGATGAGATCTCCAGTGTCAAGCTTCCTCCTCTAACCACATACCAGGCTCAACACTTTCCTTCGACCCTGTTACCACTGAGGAAGTTACCGAACTCCTTTCCAAGGCTCACTTCACCACCTGTCCCCTGGATTCTGTCCCCTCACGACTGTTGCAGCCTCCTTCCTGCTCTATTCTAAACTCTCTAACCCACATCTTCAACGTCTCACGCTCCATGGGCACCTTTCCTTCCCCGCTCAAACATGCACTGGTTACCCCCATTCTCAAAAAACCTTTGCTGGACCCCACCTGTTTGAATAACTTAAGACCCATCTCCCTGCTTCCATTTGCCTCCTCGAGCGCCTTGTTCACAACCGTATAAACTGCTACCTCACTGACAACAACCTTCTTGATCCCCGACAGTCTGGCTTCCACCAACATTCCACAGAAACTTCCCTACTAAAACTCACTAACACCCTACTAACTGCTAAAACCAATGGCCATTACTCCATAATCATACTCATTGACCTTTCTGCTGCCTTTGACACAGTCGACCACCCGCTCCTCCTCAGTAAACTCCACTCCATCGGCCTCCATGACTCTGCTCTCTCCTGGTTCACCTCTTACCTTTCTCAGCGCACTTTCAGTGTCACATACAACTCCTCTTCCTCTTTCAGTTGGGGTACCCCAAGGATCTGTCCTTGGGCCTCTCCTTTTCTCTCTCTACACCTCCTCCCTGGGCCAACTGATAGCCTCCCGTGGCTTTCAATACCACCTCTATGCTGATGACACCCAGATCTATCTCTCCACTCCCCAGCTCACCCCCTCAATCTCCTCACGTATCACAAATCTACTAAGCAACATATCAGCATGGATGTCATACCACTCCCTTAAACTCAATCTTTCCAAAACCGAGCTTGTAACAGCACAACCATTGGTCCTCCCCTCATGCCAAGGTGCTAGGCGTAGTCCTAGACTCTGACTTCTCCTTTGGGTCCCACATCCAATCACTGGCTAAATCCTGCTGCCTCAACCTCCGGAACATTTCCAAAATCCGCCCCTTTCTGACCAATGACACCACAAAACAACTTATCCATGCCTTGGTTATATCCCGCCTTGACTACTGCAACTCCCTCCTCACTGGTCTAACGTTACACAGGCTATCCTCTCTTCAGTCTATTATGAATGCTGCTGCTAGACTCATACACCTTACCAACCGATCAGCGACTGCTGCCCCTCTCTGCCAATCCCTTCACTGGCTTCCACTAACCCAGTGTTTCTCAACTCCAGTCCTCATGGACCCCCAACAGGTCATGTTTTCAGGATTTCCCTCAGATGAAACAGCTGTGGTAATTACTAAGGCAGTGAAACTGATCAAATCACCTGTGCAAAATAATGGAAATCCTGAAAACATGACCTGTTGGGGGTCCATGAGGACTGGAATTGAGAAACACTGCACTAACCCAACGTATAAAATTCGAAATACTAACCACAGCTTACAAAGCCATCCACAACACTGCCCCTAGCTACATCACCAACCTCATCCGCAGATATCGCCCATCCGCTCCTCCCAAGATATCTTCCTCTTTAGCTCCCTCATCACCTCCTCCCACACTCGCCTCCAGGACTTCTCCAGAGCCTCTCCCAACCTCTGGAACTTCCTACCACAGCATGTTCGGTCAGCCCCCACCCTGTCTGCCTTTAGGCAATCTTTGAAAACTCACTTATTCAGGGAAGCCTACCCCACCTCCACCTAAGAACTGTACATGAATCACCTCCACCAGATCATCGCCCCGCATCTATCACCTTTTGTATCATCTCCCCCTTTTTTTAGATTGTAAGCTCCACGAGCCAGACCCTCCTATTCCTTCTGTACTGAAATGTATTGTAATTGTCTCCCTTATATTGTAAAGCGCTGCGCAAATTGATGGCGCTAATAATAATAATCACGGTACCACGCTTGAATTCACTGACCTCCTGAGAGCGACCCATTCTTCCAGAAATGTTTATAGAAGCAGTCTGCATGCCTAGGTGATGATTGTATACACCTGTGGCCATGGAGGGGATTGAAACACCTGAATCCAATGATTTGGAGGGCTGGCCCAATACTTTTGGCAATATAATGCAGGCCATAGATGGGTCGAAAATCGGCTGATTTTTCGGCCGAAAATAAAATTGATTTTCGGATCGTTAGTGGGCTAAATGTTCGGCCGTTTTTCTGTATTTTGGTAGATTTTTTTTATTGGTAAAGTTGGAAAAAATCGTCCGATCTTTTACCGATAAAAAAATCGACCTGCAAGACGAAGACAAAAAGAAGAAAAAATAAGAAGAGGATGAAGAAGAAGAAGAAGTGGATGAAGAAGAGGATGAAGAAGGAGAAGGGGAAGAGAAGAAGCAGAGGATGGAGAAGAAGAGGATGAAGAAGAGGAAGAAGAAGAAGAAGAGGATGAAGAAGAAGAGGAAGAAGAGGATGATGATGAAGAAGAAGAGGATGAAGAAGAAGAGGAAGATGAAGAAGAGGATGAAGAAGCTGAAGAAGAGGAAGAAGAAGAAGGAAGAAGAGGAGAAGAAGAAGAGGATGCAGAAGAGGATGAAGAGAAGAAGAAGAAGAAGAAGAGGATGAAGAAGAAGAGGATGAAGACGAAGAAGAAGAAGAAGAGGAGGATGATGAAGAAGAGGATGAAGAAGAAGAGGATGAGATGAAGAAGAAGATGAAGAAGAAGAAGAGGATGAAGAAGAAGAGGAAGATGAAGAAGATGAAGAAGAGGATGAAGAAGAAGAGAAGAAGAAGAGGATGAAGAGGAAGAGAAGAAGAGGATGAAAAAGAAGAAGAAGAAGAGGATGAAAAAGAAGAAGAAGAAGAGGATGAAGAAGAAGAGGATGAAGATGAAGAAGAGGATGAAGAAGAAGAAGAAGAGGATGAAGAAGAAGAAGAGGATGAGGATGAAGAAGAAGATGAAGCTGAAGAAGAGGAAGATGAAGAAGAGGATGAAGAAGGTGAAGAAGAGGATGAAGAAGAAGAAGAGGAAGAAGAAGATGAAGAAGAAGAGGATGAAGAAGAAGAGGAATTCCAGTCCGGCAAAAAGTGTCCCTGCAGAGAGCTCCGCTATTTCTTTGACAGTTCCTTGACAGTTATAGCGGTTGCAACAATGTATCTATTTGTATCCATTTAGGATACAGATGTTTTTATTCGGAAACAAATAGATACATTGTTGCAACCGCTATAACTGTCAAGGAACTGTCAAAGAAATAGCTAATCTCTCTGCAGGGACACTTTTTGCTGGCTGTAGACGGGATGAAAATCGGCTAATTTTTTTTACCGTTGCTGGTAATGTCGGCCTCTTGAACGACCGATTTTTAAAGAAAAATCGGCCGATTTTCGACCCGTCTATGGCCTGCATAAGTGTATAATGTTTGGGGGTTCTAAGAAATTTTCCAGCAAAAAATGCTGATTGTTAAACCTGCTGGGAAAGGCCTGGGCTGGAAGTTCATATGTGGGGAAGTGTCATTGGAATGTATTTCCTGTCACTGTTACACTTTCAATGCCTGCTTACATTATCATATTGCACTTCCTCATCTGCCTACAGAGGGCGCACATGCGCAGCGATGAGCTCAACTCTCAGCACTACATTACCCGGCAGGCATAGCGTCTCGGAGCACGTCTTGCGTTCTTTTTACACTGACGGACGTACGACGTGACCTGAGCGGTAGGAGGCGCCGGTGTGACCTAGAGCAGCGGCCGGAGGAGAAGATGGCAGCGGCTGGCAGGATCTCCTTGGGGGTAAAGCGGGAGGAGGAAGCCGGGGCGGGAGGTTGGAGGGTGTCAGAGTGATCTGTGCGTTCCCTGCCCGGGCTGTGACCTGGATGGCGGAGACCTCTCTGTATGGACTGACAGAGAATGAAGAGCACAGAGGTCAGGGACATCATACCCTCTGATTATCACATCCGGGGAAAAATGACAGCACGTGGCTCTGTTACCAATAGCAACCAGTCTTTTTTATTGGGTTGCTACTGGCAACATCTCCATGTTTGCTTTCCCTTCCCACCAGCATGGTGGCCGCCATGGCTGACCTCCCCTCCTCATCACACCGGCTGCCTGGCTTCCAGACTGTGTTACTGGCCTGCAGCTTAATTTGGACTTTGCTTGCTGCAGGTCAGTGACCCTGGACCCAGAGGGCATTATCCCCAGAAGGAGCCGGCCTATTCTGATACTGATACTGATTTTTACATCTTAAAAAGAAAAAAAAAAGTTGTTTTGCTACAAAATTACGTAGAACCCCTGAACATTATACATTTTTTTTTTTTTTTAATCTGAGGCCCTAGAGAGTAAAATGGTGGTTGCTACAGTTTTTTTATGTCACACTGTACTTGCACAGCGGTTTTTCTAATTATTTCAGGTACTTATATAGCGCCGTCAATTTACACAGCACTTTACATATATATTGTACATTACATCAGTCCCTAACCCTCAAGGGGTGTACAATCTAAGGTCCCTAACTCACATTCATACATACACATACTAGGGACAAGTTAGACAGGATCCGATTAACCTACCAGCATGTCTTTGGAGTGTGGGAGGAAACCGGAGTACCGGAGGAAACCCACGCAGACACAGGGAGAACATGCAAACTCCAGGCAGGTAGTGCCGTGGTTGGGATTCAAACCAATGATCCTAGTACTGCCAGGCGGAAGTGCTAACCATTTAGCCACTGTGCTACAATTTAAAAACAAAAAACCACTACATAAAACTTTTTTTTTTTTTAAATTTGAAAGGTGATGTTATGTCAAGTAAATAGATACTTAACATGTCACTTTTTAAAATTGCTCATGCTCGTGGAATGGCGCCAAAGTACGTTACTTGAAAATCTCCATAGGCAACACTTTAAAATGTTTACAGGTTACAAGTTTAACCACTTGCCCTCCAGAGGGTTTACGGCGCTGCGTTACTTTATCTGACAATTCCGCGGTCATGCAACGCTGTACATGAATAAAATATATGTCCTTATCTTTCCTACAGATTGAGCTTTCTTTCGGTGGCATTCGATCACCTCTGCGTTTATTTTTTGCACTATAACCAAAAAAAGCGGACAATTTTGAAAAAAAAAACAATATTTTTGACTTTTTGCTATAAAACGTCCAGTAAAAAATGTATTCTGCGACATCTTTGCTAAAAAAAATCCCAATACGTGTAAATTAATTAGTTTACGTGAAAGTTATAGCCTTTACAAATGGCGGTCATATGCTGGAATTTTTTTTTTATACTAGTAATGGCGGCGATCAGCAACTTATAGCGGGACTGCGGCGGGCATTCTGACACTGGGGGGGACTGTCACTGACATCCCCAGTGACACCAATACAGTAATAAAAAGCACTGACACTGTACTAATGGCACTGGGCAGGAAGGGGTTAATATCTGGGGCGATCAAAGGGTTAACTGTTTGCTGTGTGTTTTATACTATGGAGACATGCTGTGCACATAAATACAAAGCAGCATGTCCTTGCAGGCAGGATAGAGACCTGTGTTGTTTACACACAGGTCTCTCCCCTGTCCGCTTTGCCCCACGATTGCCAGGTGTCAGTTGGGAATGTCCAGCCCAGACCCGTTGATTGACATCCTTAGCCGCCAATGGCAGTACAGGTAGGGGGGCGCTCGTGCATGCTCCCTACCTTGCAATGCAAATCACGTATATATACACGAGATTTTACGTAGCCATTCCATCCTGTAGCAATACTCCTACTATAGGGCGACGGGCAAGTGGTTAAAGTTACAGAGGAGGGCTGGTGCTAGCAGTATTGCTTTCACTATAACGTTCAGGGCAATAGCTCACATGTGGGGTGTGAACATTGGTTACATTGTGGGTGTGACCTGTGTGTGTGCTCACCACTGTGTGCAAGCATGGGGGAGCTTTCGAAAAAAAAAAATATTTTTACACTTTCTCTTAATTTTTTTTTAATCACTTTTATTGTTATCACAAGAAATGTAAAAATCATGTTACATAGTTAGTCTGGCTGAAAAAAGACAAAAGCCCATCCAGTTCAACCAAAAAAAAAAGTTATAATCCTATACCCACAGTTGATCCAGAGGAAGGAAGGCAGAAAAAAACCCAGCAAAGCATGATCCAATTTGCTTCTGTAGGGGAAAAAATCCTTCCTGATCCCCCGAGAGGCAATCGGACATTCCCTGGATCAACTTTACCTATAAATGTTAGTATCCAGTTATATTCTGTGTATCTAGGAAACAATCCAGGCCTTTTTTTGAAGCAATCCACTGAGCTGGCCAGAACCAACTCTTGAGGGAGTCTATTCCACATTTTCACAGCTCTTACTGTGAAGAAACCTTTCCGTGTTTGGAGATTACATTTCTTGTCCTCCAGACATAAAGCGTGCCCCCTTGTCCTCTGTGATGACCTCAAGGTGAATAATAGTCATTTGTGAAAGCAATAAAGCATGACAGGTCCTTTTTTATGGAGAAATTTGGAGTCTATTAGACCCCAGATCTCTCCTCTACAATGGAAATCATCAGATCCAATAAAAATTGATCTAATGCTTTCCCCCAAAAAATCGCGTTTACATCAGCTGTGCACCAGAAGTGACGTCATGACGTCACGGCCTTCTAGGTCATAGAGATGAACAGAGGCCATCTTTCCTTTGTTTCTCTCCATGGTCAGCTGCTGCAACCGCCGGATCGGTTCCTAGACTTCAAAATGAGCCAGGTAAGCCCGACAACCACTGGAAAGCGGGTTGGGGGGGATTAGATGACGCTTTAAAAGCCTTTACAGGTTACCACTTTAGATTTACTTAGGAAGTCTGGTGCTAAAATTACTGTCCATGATCTGTCGTTCTCAGCGATACTTCATATGTGTGCGATGTGTAAGACCGACGTTTACGTTCACCTTTGCACGCAAGCTCCGAGGGGCTGAGGGCACTTAATTTTTATTTATTTATTTTTTTATATTTTCTATGCTGGCACTTTATTTTTTTTCTTTTAATCACTTATATTGCTGTCCAAGGAATGTAGACATCCCTTGTGACAGCAATAGGCCTGTGACGGGTAATCTTTATGGAGGGATCTGGGGATCAATAAGACCTCAAATCCCTCCTCTGCACTTAGACATGTAACCTCCCTGGAGGTATTCCTGAGTGTAGCTCGGGGTAAAGTTTCAGCACCACAAGCGGTAACCCCGAGCTACACTTGAGCTTACCATGCGGCGCTGCATAGGGATCTGTTCTTCTCTTACCTTGTCCTGCGCTCCCACGATGTTCCTCCTGCAGTGTCCCCTGTAATGTCCTCCGGCCGATGCCGGCATCTGTCTTCTTGGTTCCGTCCCCTGCGACGTCGTGACGTACGGAGACAGAGCGGCGGGAAATTTGAAAGTGACATTCACTAAAATCACATAGTAAAACATTCCTGTATCAAACCATTTCACATACATTTTGTCCCGAGTGCTTTGTCCTGCGCCCTGCCTGCATTTTTACTGTTCTTTCTGCCTGGAAACTGAGAAACGTCCATGGCGTCCAAAAAGCGTCCCTTTAGGTCCAAAGCGGTTTTAGACCAGCTAGAGAACAGCGATAGTAAATCAGAACCACTTGCAGAATTGAGTGATAATGATTTGTGGGGGAAATTCGTCATCAGACACTGAAAACGATTTTGCGACTTTGCTCAGTGATGTGCGAACTTGGCGCTCTATTTCACATTTCAGTGTTTTGGGTTTGATTATATTATTGAATTACATTTATAATTATATTATTTTTTATGATTATTAAATTATAATTTATGATTTCGTGTTTCAAATATTATCCTACCCGGGATGTTTAATAGACTCTTGTTCGGACAGATTTCAGTGAGTTATTCCTAAAAATTACAGCCTACAATAAAAAAACTACATATTTCCATGCAAAAAAATGTACCGCTTTGAGCACAGAAAAATGGACATAATCAGACCGCTAGGGAGGTTATTCACATTAAGATCTGTGTGATTGAATTCCTTTGTTTTTTTTTTAAATGGCGCCATTTTGTTCCTAATAAACCGTAATTGATATCGGGTCATCGCTTCTGGTTTACTATATTGCAGAGCCAAACAAAGCTAATCCGGTCTTTGTCAGGCTCAGTGACCAGCCAGTATCTGCTCTGGCTGGTCGAATGGGACTCCCAGTGGGATGGGGGCTCCTGGTAAAGTTGCGGGAGGAGGGGGATGTTCCCTCCAGCTACTTGTAATAGCAATCAAGCTGCTAGTTAGCCGCTCCGATTGCTATTACAAGAGAGCTGACTGGCAGCTCTAAACAACAGTACCGGGATGATGATGCCTGCAGCTGCAGGCACCACCCCTGTATGACGTACGGATACATTGCTGGAGATGAAGTAGTTAATCTTTCTGTAGATTTTTTTTTCAGTTGTATTATTTATTTTCTAGGTGCGCTCCTTCAGCACTAGTGTGACCAGACCAGTCTCCAAGCTGGTTAGGGTAAGTTTAACTTAATATGTGCTTTTTTGTTTTACATGAAATCATAATCTCTTTTCACCAGACTTCTGTCTTCAACACATTTATTGTATATTTAGTACATTTTATGGCTGTTATTTACCTGTGTAGCCAACTAATTAAAGCCAATCTTGGATGTGATGTCAACAGCCCCAGCAGACCCACAGCTGTCACTCAAGTATTCTCCTTCACTTCTCCCCTAGCAGCTAAATAAAAGGTTTTGCAGAGAGGGGAAGGGCGGAGGAGCTGGGCCAGCACAGACAGTAGTTGGACAATAGCAGCAGAGGAAAAGCCTGTGACATGCAGAAGGGAGAGTGGGGTTATGCTAGGATATTTGAGATTACATTTGAGATTTACATTGGAAGGTTCTGTTTGGTTACCTTTTTTGGTGTTTCAGCGGCTATTTTTCTTTTGGATAGCGCTCGCATATTCACTCTTTATATGCTAGGATATTGACTCTTCCAGGAGTAGTCTAATCCTCTAGCACAGGGCTTATCCAAACTATGGCCCTGCAGGTGTCGAGGAACTCCAAGTCCTATGAGGCCTTCCAAGACTCGTGACAGCCACAGGCAAGACTTCCAGAGGCATGATGGGACCTGTAGTACTTCAACAGCTGGAGGGCCATAGTTTGGAGACCCCTCCTCTATCATATGGAAAGGGAGAACCCTGCGGGACATAAAATGGGGAGTGTTCCCATCTGGATGGGATGACACAGCAATAAAATAGTCCTCACTGGGGAGAGATCCCATCACTTGCTGTCCTGAGAGGAAGAAAGAGAAATGCTCATTAGTGGGGATACAGATTACAGCTCCACACTAAAAAAAAAAACGCTGGCCATAGCGTTTTTTTTTTTTTTTTTTTTTTTTTTTTTTTTTCTATGTAGCGTTTTATTAGCCTTTTTACAGTGCTTGTAGGGGAAAAAAAAGCTGTTAGCATTTAGGAGCGCTCAGTGGTTTTTATTTTTTTTTTTCTGCTGCAAAAATGTTCCCTAAAACTCCAAACCAAAAAAAAAACAAAAAAAACAATTCTGCTCCTAAATGCTGAAGCTTGAAAAACACTACTAGGCTAAAATAGTGTGCATAGAGCCTTAAGGTCCATTCACAGCGTCTTTAAAGTCACGTGATTACCAGTGCGACTTTGATTCGACCTTACATCCACTGGACCAAAGTAGTGCAGAAACTACTTTCAAGTTGCACAGATTTGAGTGGTACACTTTGGGAATCTTGGGGTGCGACTTGTCATGCGACTTTGGACCCCAAAGACGCATGACAAGTCGCACAAGTGTGAATGGGTTCTTAAAATGTCCTTTTTTTTTTTTTTTTTTTTTTTTTATTCACAATTATATACACAGAGTAGAACATTCAAAATCAGCAGAGGAAAAGTTGAACGAGTCATAACCGCAGCAACAAGATTTCTATTCCTCATTCTGTCCTAAAGTTAAAAGTTACCCTTTTGGTTGGAGTCAGGCTCTGATAGAAGCTTCACCCCTCCAGTAGCTCAGATCAGTGTAGATTTGTACTTTTCCTATGAAATCAGGCTGTGAAAAAGCAATTTCTATTTGTAATTATGGTGATCTCAGGAAAGAATCTATGTGGAATGTTGATGAAATGCCAATTGCCTGGCTGCAATGTTTACAGTCTGAGTTCAGTAGTTGGAGTCTCAGATCTGCAGTTCAGATTTCTGTTTTCTTGCGCTTCTTTCAGCTCAGTGGATGAGAAATTACAGAATGCAGACAGAACATGAAAAAATGATTCAGCTGACTTATGTTTTTATTTTTTAGCCCCCAATCCAGGTTTATGGCCTGGAAGGTCGCTATGCCAACGCTCTCTACTCTGCTGCTTCCAAGGAGAAGAAACTGGATCAGGTGGAAAAGGAACTGAACAGAATGTCGGTAAGCGGACGGAGTTTACAGTCATTGATCATTGCTCATGTATGCTTCTTGAAGTCATAAACCTCTCAATCATGTCGGTCTTAGCTGGCTAATGTGGTTTACCCTTCATGAATACCAGGGCAACGTTCACATTGTGACCATCTGACCACTTGTATGTTCTTTTCAAGTCTACCTGATAATAAATGTCACACCTATTCATACTGACACAATAAAGCAAGTATATATTTTTTCACAGGAAATGTCTTTAAGGTGGTAGAGCGGGAGCTAGATACAGAGATGGGTTTTTACAAAAGCTGTCTACCCTGTGAGCTTTTTTGAGATCACATGACTACACTGATGCCTGCAGGCCATGCTTGTAGGACCACAACTGTCTAATGGCATCATATTCACAGGCCTCAGCTAAAATTCCAGTAACCCTTCTAGAGACAGAAAACGAGGGCAAGTTTCCCCAGTGGGGACATATATAAACTTAATCTTTCCCCACTCTGAAAGTTTTTTTATTGTTGTTCCTTTTGGAAAGGTTATCTCTCGCTTTGTCCTGGTGACATGATGTCGGAACTATTCTGTGCTCACAGAAATAAACTGGAAAGCTTGAACTTATCCTCTCTACATAATGTAACATGGGCACACTGGAAGCCATTTTGTTCTTTATATTCTATGTTCATGGTTTCTAAGCAAAGACTTTAATATCGGACATTCTCCATTTCTTACAGCATATATGGGGGATACAGGGATATGGCTGTACCAGACAGCCACAAGATAAGGACTGACCATGGTACCAAGTTGCAAAATTAAGTGAGGGGTCCATGTCTCAATTGAACATAGGACAAAGAACTGTTCACAATGATTTTTTTTGTTTTGAAAATTTTAAAAAGAGTTCATTTTAAAATTTACATTGTATATGGTGGTGGTATTATTTGGCAGGATTATTTTAATCAATAATGTCAATATTATTGCATTAAGTGAATACTTCCCTAATTAAGTAATTTGGGATATATATATATATATTTATCTCTATCGGTTTTAGCAATTAATACATATTGGTATATAAAGTACTCAGCATAAGCGAGTAAACCTCTTTTTGAAAACTAAGATTTTAATCAAAATCTCAATGAATACAAGAACAATCCAAAAAAAATCCAACATTTTGACAAAACTGAGTTTTATTGAACATTTGTTTAGCTCATTACATGAAAGTAAGGTAAATAATATAACTTAATTACAAAATCTTCAGTTTTACTCAAATTAGTTGATGCAAAAATGAATACACCTCACAACAAAAACTACTCCATCTAGTATTTTGTATGACCTCCATGATTTGTAAGGACAGCACCAAGTCTTCTAGGCATGGAATGAACAAGTTGGTAACAGATTACAACATCAATCTTTTTCCATTCTTCAAGAACGACCTCTTTTAGAGCCTGGATGCTGGATGGAGAGTGATGCTCAACTTTTTTCTTCAGATTTCCCCATAGGTGTTCTATTGGGTCCAGATCAGGAGACATTCTTGGCCACTGAATCACTTTCACCCTGTTCTTCTACAGAAATACAGCAGTGGCCTTTTATATGTGTGTTTTGGATCATTGTCCTGTTGGAAAAGTACACGACGACCAAGGGCCCAGAGTGATGGTAGCATCTTCTCTTTCAATTCAGAGCAGTAGCAGTACATCTGTGAATTCATGATACCATAAGTGAAATGCAGCTGCCCGACACCAGCAGCACTCATGCAGCCCCCAGAAAGACACTGCCACCACCATGTTTCACTGTAGGCACCATGCATTTTCTTTTGTACTCGCCTTTGCAACGCCATACAGTTTTGAAGCCATCGGTTCCAAAAAAACATTTATCTTGGTCTTGCCACTCCAGGGTACAGAGCCCCGTAGTAGTCTTCTTCAGCATGGGCCCTGGCAAATTCTAGGTGGGCTGTTTTGTGCATGGGCTTTAGGAGAGGCTTCCTTTGTGGTTGACACCCATGCATGCCATTCTACTGCAGTGTACACCACATTGTGTCACTGGAAGAAATCACCCCAGTTTGGCTTTCTACTTCTACACTTCTCATCAGAAGACTCTCCTGTTGAGGTGTTAACTCCCGTGGATGGCCTGGACATCTCTGTGAGATGGTTGCAGTTCCATCTTTGTTACATTTTGTATTACTTTTGCTTCAGTATTCTGACTGATTAGTGATCTTTGCTGATCTTCTTGTAGCCTTCACCTTTCTTGTGTAAAGAAATTATTTTCTTTCTCAGGCTATGTGACATTTCTCTTCCATGTGGTTCCATTGCTGACAGCATGAAATGGGGAAGGGGTTTTCTTTAAGGAATGCCCTTTTCTAATAAATTGTCTGCTGGACACCTGTTTAATGAATAATTAGACTCACCTGTAGTTGAATTCTTTTTAACCTCCCTAGAGGTATTCCCGAGTGTAGCTCGGGGTAAAGTTTCATCACCACAAGCGGTAATCCCGGCTACACTCGGAAATACCATGCAGCGCTGCTCCGGGATCTCTTCTCCACTTAACTTTTTGTCCTGCGCTCCCGCGATGTCCCCCCTGCAGTGTCCCTGGCAATGTCCTCCGGCCGATGCTGGCATCCGTCTTCTGGGTTCCGTTCCCTGCGACGTCAGGACTTACGGGGACGTAACGGCAGGAAATTTAAAAATGTGAAAAAGTGACATTCACTAAATACACTAAAAATCACATAGTATAACATTCCTGTATCAAACCATTTCACATACATTTTTGTCCCGAGTGCTTTGTCCGGCGCCCTGTCTGCATTTTTACTGTTCTTTCTGCCTGGAAACTGAGAAACGTCCATGGCGTCCAAAAAGCGTCCCTTTAGGTCAAAAGCGGTTTTAGACCAACTAGAGAACATCGATAGTAAATCAGAACCACTTGCAGAATTGAGTGATACTAATTTGTGGGGAAATTTGTCATCAGACACTGAAAACGATTTTGCGACTTTGCTCAGTAATGTGCAAACTTTTTATATTTAAAATTTCATTGTTTTTGGTTTTATTCTATTATTGAATTAAATTTATTATATTATTTTTTAGGATTATTTATTAAATTATTTATGATTTCGTGTTTCAAATTTTAACATACACGGGATGTTTACTAGACTCTTCGGACAGATTTCAGTGAGTTATTCCTAAAAATGACAGGCCTACAATAAAAAATACATATTTCCATGCAAAAAAAGTACCGCTTTGAGCACAGAAATACTGACATAATCAGACCACTAGGGAGGTTAATTAGTATTTTATTGACTAATATTTAGCTTAGCTCCTAAGGCCCCATGTACACGGGATGTTTCTGAACAATAGAAACTGACTGCTAGAAAGTAGGTTAGAAAACGTCTGCTTAGCCGCGTTTTACATAACGAGTTTATTTACGCGTTTCGTGTTTAGAAGCGGTTTTTAAAGATAAGCACAGGAGAATCTCCCAAATGCACTGAAAAGTGGTAAATTATTAACTATTTCAGACTGTCAGAGAAATACATACAGTAGAAGCAGAGACCGCAGTATGTGTTGAGATAATTAGGTGTGAGTTGCTCATTAACATTTTTGTTTCCAAGGGTGGGAAAGGTGTCTGGTGGAGTGAGTCATTAAGGCCACCTGGCAGGGGGTCTTCATGAGGAATTTGAGGTTTGAATGTGCATTAATATATCTTTTGTTTCCAAGGTTGGGAGAGGTCTGAGGTGTGAATTGGTCATTACAATGTGTGACAAGCTTAGTAGGAACATCCTGTGTTCAGTGTTTTCTCCATTTGAGTACCTTGATAACTCTTTGCATGCATTTTTCATGATGAAAAAAGGCTCTGGACAGTATTGGGAACTGAAAGAGTTAAAAAAAAAAATTTCAACCGCTTATAAATGCATTTAGCCGTGTTTACAAGCATTTTGCGTTTGAAACGCTGACAAAATTGAAAAAAAATGTTCTCCTTGATCTCAGATACTAAGCTTATTGAATTGTCCTGTGTATGGTATTCTAAATCCGTTTATGCCAATGTAAGCTTTGAGCTTTGAATAATTGGTTGTGGAGAGATCACATGGTCAATTTGCATATCCTTTGTCATATTCTGCTGAGCTATTGATGGTTTCCTACGATGCATTTCTAGACATAATACACTATCTTGCCAAAATTATTGGGCCATCCCTCCAAATCATTGGATTCTGGTGTTCCACTCCCCTCCATGGTCACAGGTGTATACAATCAAGCCCCTAGGCATGCAGACTGCTTCTACAAACATTTGTGAAAGAATGAGTCGCTCTCAGGAGCTCAGTGAATTCAAGCGTGGTACCGTGATAGGTTGTCACCTGTGCAATAAGTCCATCCGTGACATTTCCTGGCTACTAAATATTCCACGGTCAACTGTTAGTGGTATTATAACAAAGTGGAAGCAACTGGGAACAACAGCAACTCAGCCACCAAGTGGTAGGAAATGTAAAATGACAGAGCGGGGTCAGCACATGCTGAAGCGTACAGAAGTCGCCAACTGTCTGCAGAGTAAATTGATAAAGACCTCCAAACTTCATGTGATCTTCAGATGAGCACAACAGTGTGTAGAGATCTTCATGGAATGGGTTTCCATGGCTGAGCAGCTGCATCCAAGCCTTACATCACCAAATGCAATGAAAAGCGTCGGATACAGTGGTGTAAAGCACGCCGCCACTGGACTCTAGAGCAGTGGAGACGTGTTTCTCTGCGGTGACGAATCACCCTTCCCCGTCTGGCAATCCGACGGATGTGTCTGGGTTTGACAGTTGCCAGGAGAACGGTACTTGCCTGACTGCATTGTGCAAAGTTTGGTGGAGGGGGGATTATGGTGTGGGGGTGTTTTTCAGGGGTTGGGCTTGGCCCCTTAGTTCCAGTGAAGGGAACTCTTAAGGTGTCAGCATACCAAGACATTTTGGACAATTTCATGCTCCCAACTTTGGGGATGGCCCCTTCGTGTTCCAACATGACTGCGCACCAGTGCACAAAGCAAGGTCCATAAAGACATGAATGAGCGAGTTTGGGGTGGAGGAACTTGACTGGCCTGCACAGAGTCCTGACCTGAACCCGATTGAACACCTTTGGGATGAATTAGAACGGGTGACTGCGAGCCAGGCCTTCTCGTCCGACATCAGTGCCTGACCTTACAAATGCACTTCTGGAAGAATGGTCAAACATTCCCATAGACACTCCTAAACCTTGTGGACGGCCTTCCCAGAAGAGTTGAAGCTGTTATAGCTGCAAAGGGCGGGGCCAACTGAATATTGAACCCTACGGACTAAGACTGGGATGTCATTAAAGTTCATGTGTGTGTAAAGGCAGGCCGACCAATACTTTTGGCAATATAGTGTATTTGCTGGTTTGAATTTGTAATTATTATTCTTGATTAGATAATTGCTATTTTGATTTAATAATTATCATCACCAATTATATTTTACTTACCATTTTACACTAATTTTCATTAATAAATATATATATTTTTGCACTTTATTGGTTTTTGTTTTGTCTTCAAATTAGTGCAAATAAAGAATTCAGGTTATCAGTTGATTTATGAAAATTAGTAGAGAATCTCCTTAATTCCAGATCCCCCACCAAAAAATGATATTCTGATTATTTTCTCAGAGCTAAAGTTCTGACAGTGACAGCAAGTGAAGAGAAATCACCAGTAAAAAAAAAAAAACAACCCATGTAGTTTCTTCTACTCCAGCCTTGCTGTGCTCTGTGCTGTCATGGGAATTTCAGTATTGGGACATGGTTGGGGGGGTGTGAGCCATTCTGCTACACGTGCTAATGCATAGTACACTGTTGGAGCAAATGCTTGGTCAAAGGGTTTACTTGTCATGGTGTGCTGAAATATTTAAGTTACAATTTGTCTCTCAGCGCAGTAATTTACATACAATGTATTTCATCTTGCAGGTACTTTTTAAAGAACCCAAATTATCTGTCATCATTACTAACCCCCATGTGAAGCGCTCCCTGAAACAGAAGACTATTACTGATCTCGTAACAAAGGAGAAGTTTTCCCCTATCATGGCCAACTTTGCCAGTAAGTGTTGATGTTCAGCTCCTGCCACCGGGTGCAGGCTGGGCCCTGCGTTCTTCTTTGCTCTCATTTGTCTTTGTGAATCTGTGTCACACGAGCTTTGCCTTTGTGACTGAGATTCCATAGGAAGTGATGTAGCAAAGGAGAAGATGGTGCTTGGTGGTCATGATGATGTGTAATCTTTCTGCACTGCGGTCTCTGAGTTCTGATCTTATTCCATTTATTCTTTGTGTATAAAGTTTGAGTGTCCTCCCAGCATATGCATTGGGTTTTTCTGTTCGTCCCTGCACTTTAATACATAGTTTATATAGTTAGTCTGGCTGAAAAAAGACAAAAGTCCATGCAGTTCAACCATAAAGAAAAAAAAAAAGTTATAATTCTACACCCACAGCTGATCCAGAGGAAGTCAAAAACACAGCAAAGAATAATTTGCTCCTGCAGGGGAACAAAAATTAATTCCTGATCCCTCGAGAGGCAATTGGATATTCCCTGGATCAACTTTACCTATAAATGTTAGTATCCAGTTATATTCTGTGTATCTAGGAAAGAATCCAGGACTTTTTTTAAAGCACTCCACTGAGCTGGCCAGAACCAACTCTTGAGGGAGTCTATTCCACATTTTCACAGCTCTCATTGTGAAGAAACCTTTCTGTGTTTGGAGATTACATTTCTTTTCCTCCAGATGTAAATAGTGCCCCCTTGTCCTCTGTGATGACCTCAGGGTGAATAACTACACCGAGTTCACTATATGAACCACTGATGTATTTATACATGGAGATCATATCCCCCCTTAGTATTATACATGGAGATCATATCCCCCCTTATGTATTATACATGGAGATCATATCCCCCCTTATGTATTATACATGGAGATCATATCCCCCCTTATGTATTATACATGGAGGTCATATCCCCCCTTATGTATTATACATGGAGATCATATCACCCCCTTATGTATTATACATGGAGATCATATCCCCCCCCCCTTATGTATTATACATGGAGATCATGTCCCCCCCTTATGTATTATACATGGAGATCATGTCCCCCCCTTATGTATTATACATGGAGATCATGTCCCCCCCTTATGTATTATACATGGAGATCATATCCCCCCTTATGTATTATACATGGAGATCATATCCCCCCTTATGTATTATACATGGAGATCAGATCCCCCCTTATGTATTATACATGGAGATCAGATCCCCCCCTTATGTATTATACATGAAGATCAGATCCCCCCCTTATGTATTATACATGGAGATCATATCCCCCCCCCCTTATGTATTATACATGGAGATCATATCCCCCCCCTTATGTATTCTACATGGAGATCATATCCCCCCCCCTTATGTATTATACATGGAGATCATATCCCCCCCCCCTTATGTATTATACATGGAGATCATATCCCCCCCCTTATGTATTATACATGGAGATCATATCCCCCCCCCCATTATTATTATACATGGAGATCAGATCCCCCCCTTATGTATTATACATGGAGATCATGTCCCCCCCTTATGTATTATACATGGAGATCATGTCCCCTCCCCTTATGTATTATACATGGAGATCATGTCCCCCCCCTTATGTATTATACATGGAGATCATGTCCCCCCCCTTATGTATTATACATGGAGATCATATCCCCCCCCTTATGTATTATACATGGAGATCATATCCCCCCCCTTATGTATTATACATGGAGATCATATCCCCCCCCTTATGTATTATACATGGAGATCATATCCCCCCTTATGTATTATACATGGAGATCATATCCCCCCCTTATGTATTTAAACACGGTGATCATATCCCCCTTATGTATTAAACACGGTGATCATATCCCCCCTTATGTATTATACATGGAGATCATATCCCCCCTTATGTATTATACATGGAGATCATATCCCCCCTTATGTATTATACATGGAGATCATATCCCCCCTTATGTATTATACATGGAGATCATATCCCCCCTTATGTATTATACATGGAGATCATATCCCCCCTTATGTATTATACATGGAGATCATATCCCCCCTTATGTATTATACATGGAGATCATATCCCCCCTTATGTATTATACATGGAGATCATATCCCCCCTTATGTATTATACATGGAGATCATATCCCCCCTTATGTATTATACATGGAGATCATATCCCCCCCTTATGTATTATACATGGAGATCATATCCCCCCCTTATGTATTATACATGGAGATCATTATCCCCCCCTTATGTATTTACATGGAGATCATATCCCCCCCTTATGTATTATACATGGAGATCATATCCCCCCCTTATGTATTATACATGAGATCATCATATCCCCCCCTTATGTATTTTACATGGAGATCATATCCCCCCCCTTATGTATTATACATGGTGATCATATCCCCCCCCCTTAATCTCCTAATCTCTTCTCAAGAGAGAATAAATTCAGTTCCTCTAATCTTTCCTCATAGCTGATCTCCTCCATGCCTCTTATCAGTTTGGTTGCCCTTCTCTGTACTTTCTCCAGTTCCCCAATGTTCTTTTTGAGAATTGGTGCCCAAAAACTGAACTGCATATTCCAGATGATGCTTACTAATGCTTTGAGAGAATCCTTCTTTTCCAGTGTTAACACAAAGGCAGGAGTACAGTGCTATAGTGCTAAAATTCTTGAATCCATTTAATAAAAATGCAGTAAATAAAAAAAAAATTGTGTTTACAAAGAAGGCTAAAAGCAGAGACTATATGGATGACAAAACTCCTTTTTTCTTTGGCTCATGGGCTGCCTACTGCTCTATTCTGCTCTATTGAAATTCCTTTATAGTGGTAGCATTTTAGAAGTAGGTGGAAGTAGATTTTAAGTAGTGAGCCAGCCTTTGTTTTTGCATTTTAATCCATTATTCCTTGGGCTACGTTCGCATACATGTGGTTGTGAGAGTGTTTGCAAATTGCACGTATTCCCGCAGCCTCACACAAAATGCAGTGCTACACAGAAAATGCACGGGGGGGTGCCATTAAATCTTATGACCACAGTGCGGTTTTCTGCACAAAAATTACATGGTGCAAAAGCTGCATGCGATTTCCAAGTGGTCACGTTAAAAAAAAAAAAAAAAATATGCAGAAAACGCAGGCACAGTAGCTTATTCAAATGAATGGGCTGCCATGCCCACACACTTGCGGTGTGCAGAGCCGCCTACATGTGATCCGGGGATTAAGGGCTGATGCAACTTAAATATTTTTGTTGTACTCAGGTGTGGTGGATTTAGTCACCACATTGGAACCTACCTCATCTCTTCAGGGAAGCCTATCCCACCTCTATCAATCAATGGAATTTAAGTTTCTTGACTGTCTCCTCCCCACAAAGCTACTACATTTTGTATTGCTTACCCCAGGGCTCGACAAATCCCGGTGCCAGGTCACCATGGCGTCTAGAAAATGCGGCCTCTCGCCCAGGCTGTTGTTAGCCCCAGTTGTGTGGCAAGGGGAGCGCAGCCAGGCGCAACATTGCTGGGCAGCCTGCAGGTGTCACTGCCACAGAGGAGAGCGGCGGGAATGTGAAGGGCGGGTTAGGGGAGATGCAGGGCTGTAGAGTACTAGGAGGGGCAGGTTAGAGGAGGAGTGGAGCTGGCAGGTAGTGTCCCCTGTGGAGCGCTCAGGGACACCTGCCGCTACAAGGAGACTTTCCTCGGAGCAGAAACCGGTGGCTCTGATCGAGCTGAGCAATGGCTCCGAGCTGGACACCCCCTCGCAGGGGATGCCCCAGATGCTCAGGTTCCCACCCTGGACAAACTCAGACTGCAGCTCAGAGTTGGGTGTGGGCAGCCCAGGAGCCTGTTAAGCCTCGTGACAGCCAGTGTGGCCACCTATCAGTGTCCACAGCAGTGCCGCCCCATAGGTGCAGCCTCATCACCTCACATCCGTGAAGAAAAATTATTTATTTAAAGAAAGGGTTCTTTTTTTTTTTTTTTTTTTTTCTTTTCCTCGCGTATTTAGTAATAAAAACCCAAGTGGTGATTAAATACAACTAAAAGCTCTATCTGTCTAAAAAAAGTTTAATTTGGGTACAATGTTGCATGACCGCGCAATTGTCCTTTAAAGTGTGCCAGCGCTGAAAGTTAGAAATTGGCCTGGGCAGGAAGGGGGGCGAAAGTAACCAGTAGGCAAGTGGTTAAAAAAAATAAAAACTGGCTCCAAACTTTTTTTTTTTCTTTTTGGTGGCTCCCAGATTCAAAGCAAATATATCTATATATTTATCTTTTATTTTTTGTCTGCTATTTTAGATTTGCTGGCTGAGAACGGTCGTCTTAATAACGCTTCTGATGTGATTAACGCCTTCAACAAGATCATGAGCGCACATCGAGGAGAGGTGCTGTGCTCTGTCACTACATCTTCAGTAAGTCACACGGCCTGCATTGTTCTTCCATCTGTTACTATGTAAAAGTAAGAACATTTTTGCATTAAAGGCAGAAAGTTATGCTGGAAGTTGTAGTTCCACGTCTCCGGGAGCACTGTATAAATAATATATTTGAGCCAGTGCTAAATTTAATCCTAACCCCAGAAACCACTAAACAGCTCATCCACTCCCTCATCATATCACGACTCGACTACTGCAACTCCCTCCTCACTGGCCTGCCTCGCCGCTGGCTATCCCCGCTTCAGTCCATCCTGAATACGGCTGCCAGACTCATTCACCTTTCCAACCGCTCCGTTTCCGCCACCCCCCTCTGCCAATCCCTCCACTGGCTTCCGATTGCGCAACGGATCAAATTCAAAATCCTAACACTGACGTACAAAGCTGTCCACCATACTGCCCCGAACTACATCACTGACCTAATATCCAAGTACCACCCAACACGCACACTCCGCTCCTCACAAGACCTCCTTCTCTCTAGTTCCCTGGTCTCCTCCTCCCATGCCCGTCTCCAGGACTTCTCCAGGGTGTCACCCATCCTCTGGAACTCCCTGCCCCAACCCATCAGATTATCACCTACTCTCCTCTCCTTTAGGCGCACCCTGAAAACCCATCTCTTCAGGGAAGCCTACCCCACCCCCTGCTAACTTGCCGACCTCCTCTACTCTTCCTACCACTCCATCCCCCACAGCTATCTCCTCCTGTGCCACCATCCCCTCCCTCCTAGATTGTAAGCTCGAAAGAGCAGGGCCCTCGATCCCCTCATGTTTTGCATTGTATTGGTATTGTTCTGTCACATGTTCTGTCCCCCTTTGTAATGTACAGCGCTGAGCGAACTATTGGCGCTTTATAAATACTGTATAATAATAATAATAGTATTTTTTCTTTTAGCCTCTGGATGAAGCAGGTTTGACAGAATTGAAGTCTGCCCTGAATCTCTTCCTTGCCAAAGGAGAATCTTTGAAATTGGAGACCAAGGTAGGAATCTGTATGGGTGATATCGCATGATCATTACATGGGTGTGGTATGTGCTACATGTTAGGAAATTTTAACTATTACATATCATTGAGCATTTCACTCTATCTAACAATTTTGATCTAAGCAAAAGCTTTTCAACACAAAATTTTAAGTCTCCATTATATTGACTGCTGGTGACATATATTGAAAGCCTACAGAATTGGTGGTGATTGAATCAGAAGAATCCATGATTTACATGTTAGTTTTCCTGAATATTTGCACATAGATTAGCTATTAATTATGTAAGCCAGGGCTCAAGGTGGGGGAGGGAGGGTGAGGGGGGAGGAGGGAAGATATCACATGGATGGTTCCCGCCTCACTTGCTCAGTCAGTAGCATTACAGGGCTGCCAGCTGCTCTGTGTACAATTTCTCACGGACTCATCCTCTTCTGAGAAGCTGCATGGACTTGATTGTGGGCTAGCACAGGGTGAGGCAGAGAAGATCCATCCTCTCTCCTCTCCTTATTGGTGCAGAGGATGGAGGGAGGGGCTGGGCACAGAGCACCACGGCGGGGGGACACGGCAAAGAAAGAGAAATAGTCGGGGATGAGCAGTGGGGGCAGTTACAAGCACCAATTTCCCTGTATGGCTTTCAATAAAGCAGTAGTTGGAAGCCGCTTCTCCTCCTCTCCTTCATGCAGCTTTCAGCTGCTTCATTGAAAGCCATACAGGGCAATCGGTGCTTGTAGCTGCCCCACCCACCCCTAGTTGTGGCCCTGCTCGCCCCCACGTTATTTCCACTCGCTAAATACGAGCAGGCGAGTGGACATTGTGAGGGCTAATTTAAGCTAATTGTGATTTCATGAATTCTCTGCAGATTGGCTGCATACACATGTTCAGGTGAATGAAAATCTTATTTTTCTTATTGATGCTTATCACAACCCCAAGTCGTGTTGTCTTTTCCTTCTGTGGTAAAGATCATTGGGAGCCATGCTGTACCTTCTCCCGACCCACAATTATTTTCGTGACTGATCTAAAACAAAAGTATTCATTGGTTGTGCACACTAGATGAAGACTTTGTCCTAATGGAATGCTTAAAAACCCAGTTGTTTGAATGTGTAGGCGAACATGTTTATCAAGCCATATAAATGAATGTGGTCAATAATAGCTTTCAGAACCATAGAAGCTGCATTGAACAGGTTGATGTGGAGTGTTCTAACATGTCTCCTTTTTCTGCAGACGGACTCCACTATCTTGGGAGGAATGCTTGTCAGCATTGGTGACAAATACATCGACATGTCTACCAGAACCAAGATCCAGAAACTGAGCAAGATCATGAGAGATACTGTCTGAGCAATCCGCTTCTCTGAATATATTATATTGATTGCCAGTAGTTGAATAAATCCTTTTACTCTGTGCTAAGTGCTGTGTACACATGCCTCCTTTACATGGTCTTTACTTGCTGGTGTCAGTGTTGTCCTCTACTGGGAATACTTGCTGGTGTCAGTGTTGTCCTCTACTGGGAATACTTGCTGGTGTCAGTGTGTTGTCCTCTACTGGGAATACTTGCTGGTGTCAGTGTTGTCCTCTACTGGGAATACTTGCTGGTGTCAGTGTTGTCCTCTATGGGAATACTTGCTGGTGTCAGTGTTGTCCTCTACTGGGAATACTTGCTGGTGTCAGTGTTGTCCTCTACTGGGAATACTTGCTGGTGTCAGTGTTGTCCTCTACTGGGAATACTTGCTGGTGTCAGTGTTGTCCTCTACTGGGAATACTTGCTGGTGTCAGTGTTGTCCTCTTCTGGGAATACTTGCTGGTGTCAGTGTTGTCCTCTACTGGGAATACTTGCTGGTGTCAGTGTTGTCCTCTACTGGGAATACTTGCTGGTGTCAGTGTTGTCCTCTACTGGGAATACCTGCTGGTGTCAGTGTTGTCCTCTACTGGGAATACCTGCTGGTGTCACTGTTGTCCTCTACTGGGAATACTTGCTGGTGTCAGTGTTGTTCTCTACTGGGAATACCTGCTGGTGTCACTGTTGTCCTCTACTGGGAATACTTGCTGGTGTCAGTGTTGTCCTCTACTGGGAATCTGTTTATTTTTTCTCAAAAATACATTTAATTTTTTAGACGATTCAACATTCACATATAGACCATTTATTACACAGTTGGACTTGCCAAATGATAGAATGTTAAGAGTGCAGCTTCAGTCAGAGTTAAAAAAAAAAAACATCCAAAATAATCAAAAACTGGTGAGTTTTATGGCTGAAAAGCATCTCTATGCTTTTCAGCCATAAAACTCACCAATTTTTGATCATTGCCCAGTTTTTGAGCGGTTGCCCCTCACAGAGACACAGTACAAGGCAGGTAAATGAGTAATGGAAAGATCAGCCACAGGTAATATTGGTGACTAGTTCCTATGTCTTCTCCGTTTTTTTTGGGCAAAGTTTTCATAGTTCTGTTCATTTTTACAAGTACCATGCTCTCTAGCATGGTACGTGTAAAAATGAACAGAACTATGAAAACTTTGCCCCAAAAAAAACAGGGAGAGGACATAGGAACTAGTCACCAGTATTACCTGTGGCTGATCTTTCCATTACTCATTTACCTGCCTTGTACTGCACTGTGTCTCTGTGAGGGGTCAACCATCTTGGTACAGGCAGGGCTTTGCTTTCTTGTCTTAGCCTCCAGCAAAGAGAAAAGTGAGCAGCACAGTAATGGCATTACCAAATCTAAGACTAGAAGTCAGAGGCAGCAGTACCTTAGATCTCACACTGTATACAGCTGTGTTTTGTAGGGACAGCAGTGCATAGGTAGACTACATACTAAACACTAAGTGTACTTTCTCTGGAGGAAGGTGATACTATCATTTCTAGATCTTCCCTATAACTGTGCACACTAACTTTTTTTTTTTTTTTCAATTTCACCTTTTAGCTTGCATTGCATGCTAACAGGCAGAGATCACATTAATATGCTAGTAAAAAAAAAAATTACTGAAGGTCCTAATGGTAAAACGACTTGTGGTGGTCATTTTTGGCTTGTGTACTGTCAACAGATGCTTGATATGTGTTCTGAATGCTCTAATAGATGTTCATTGTAACATTACTATTTGTCCTTGTTTCCTGGGGACAGTCCCCATTGGTGGGGGGGTTAGTCTGTCCTCAGGAAATGCATGTCTCCATTGAACTGGGCACTGTAGTCCATTTCAGTGTGTAGGCTCCAACTCAAGCATCAGTCAAAAACGGCACTGCCAGAGGGTCGCGCACTGCAATCTATGTTGGGCGTAGGCTGCTTCAGCCTCGCCATTTTGGATTGGCATTTGCACAGTAATGCACTATAATGCTTGGCTCCTTGAGGACAATCCTGGTGCTGACCAGGGAACAGAGATGGGTACCAGACATGGCATACACCACACCAGATGCAATCTGAGTTACTTGCTCCTGATCTGACCCCTGAACTCTGTGCAGCACATACTCCTGAGCTACTTAACACTGACCCCTTTTTGCCCTGGCTATTGTTACTGCGATTTGGCTACACCCACAATTCATTCTGGCATGGCGTATGTGCTGTATCGCTTTCCCATGATGCCTAAGGTTTTTGTCTTCATACCTTGAATGTCCCTCGCAATTGTTAATTTGGTAGCCATGAATAGATGTAATGCCAGCTACCGCTCAGGACGAAGCAGGGCCCACTAATGGTTTAAATAATAGCACCTCGTATGGGTTGCGCTTAATGTTTGTGTGAAACAGTGTGGAGAAGGGCATAGACCCTAATCCATAATCTGCAAACCTTAGGGCAAGTCCACCAAATATGGGCCATTGTGCCTATTGTTGGCAACCCCAAAAGCAAGTTTGGGGGTATGCAGGAATAAAACGAGCCAGATGGGCAGGCGTGTGTAATACCATCTACAGTTGTGGCCAAAATTATTCAACCCCCAATGCTGTAAAGGGGTTTAGGGACTATAGTGTACATTTGGAATTGTATTCAGAATCAAATCCTACAAGGACGTTGTAACTACCCAAATGCAACTAAAATGACATCAATTGTTTATGTAATACAGTAGTAAATGGTTCTTATGTGGTTTCTTCATTGCCACAATTATTCAACCCCTTAAAGACTACCACTCTGAAGAACAGAGGTTCATACAGGTGCTTTCCATCAGGTATTGAAAACACCTGTGGATGTCACCGAGCAGCAATCAAGCATAATAAGCACCAATTAGGCAGCTTTAAAATGACTGTGATACTCAGCTCCTTCTAGACATTTACTGGTGTGGTTACAAACATGGTGAAGGCAAGAGAATGGTCCAGGAAGACAAGAGAAGAGGTGATTTCTCTTCACAGGAAGGGCAATGGCTATAAGAAGATTGCAAAGATGTTAAACATACCAAGAGACACCTTAGGAAGCATCATTCGCAAATTCAAGGCAAAGGGCACTGTTGAAACGCTACCTGGTCGTGGCAGAAAGAAGATGCTGACTTCGACTGCTGTGCGCTACCTGAAGCGTAGAGTGGAGAGAAGTCCCCGTGTGACTGCTGAGGAACTGAGAAAAGATTTGTCAGATGTGGGTACAGAAGTTTCAGCCCAGACAATAAGACGCACACTGCGTAATGAAGGCCTCCGTGCCAGAACTCCCAGGCGTACCCCCTTGCTGTCTCCAAAGAATAAGAAGAGTCGACTGCAGTATGCCAAAAGCCATGTGGACAAACCACAAAAGTTGTGGGATAGTGTTCTGTGGACTGATGAAACAAAATTAGAACTGTTTGGGCCCATGGATCAACGCTATGTTTGGAGGAGGAAGAACAAGGCCTATGATGAAAAGAACACCTTGCCTACTGTGAAGCATGGTGGAGGGTCAATCATGCTTTGGGGCTGTTTTGCTTCTGCAGGTACAGGGAAGCTTCAGCGTGTGCAAGGTACCATGAATTCTCTTCAGTACCAGGAGATATTGGATGGAAACGTGATGCAGTCCGTCACACACCTGAGGCTTGGGAGACGTTGGACCTTTCAACAGGACAATGATCCCAAGCATACCTCCAAGTCCACTAGAGCATGGTTGCAGAGGAAAGGCTGGAACATTTTGGAGTGGCCATCGCAGTCACCAGACTTTAAATCCGATTGAGAACCTCTGGTGGGACTTAAAGAAAGCAGTTGCAGTGCGCAAGCCTAAGAATGTGACTGAACTGGAGGCCTTTGCCCATGAAGAATGGGCGAAGATACCCGTAGATCGCTGCAAGACACTTGTGTCAAGCTATGCTTCACGTTTAAAAGCTGTTATAACTGTAAAAGGATGCTGTACTAAGTACTAAGATTGAATGTCACTTGGGGGTTGAATAAAACTGATAATGCTGTGAGCACAGAAAAGACATTTGTGGTTATTTCATTATAACTGTTATGTTATATTTGTCTGACCTACAAGTGCCTCTTTAATGTAAATGTAAGCAAGATGACTGAATGATCAAAAGCAATGTCAAACTGGCCAAAACACTCAATTTCAGTGGGGGTTGAATAATTTTGGCCACAACTGTATAAAGGACCTTTTATAGGCATTTTCTAAAATAACATTCCTTGAACATTTAGACAATGCATGGCTCATGATCCGCCAATCTTGCTGATCCAGACTTCCCCTGAGTTCCGACTGCTAATGCTGGTGGTAAGAACGAACCGGGCCCGTTCTATATCAAATAAATAATAGCGGACTAGACGAGAAATTAAGCCCGGAGCATGGGGTCTATGTCTGCACTGACTTTCAAAGGGGGGTCAGCCTATAGGGTCCCGGATGTGCCTGTATCTGTATTGATAAAGTGTCAGAGCTGAAGGTTGCCAAAGTGCTCCTGCAGCAGGACATTGTAAGAGTTACGCAGAGTCTCAAAGGTGAGTATTTGGGAGGGAGAGAGCATTGTGGAAGCTGTCGGCTAGCCACCATAAAAACTGTCGGATTGGCATGCTCTGGGGGAAATAATGGATTATGGAGCAAAGGCAGGTGCGCAGAAATGAGACCAGCAGAATATTTAATAGAATCCTAAAGTTGAAGCGTGTGCGTCAACATAGGACCAAGAGGAGAAGGGCGATGAATAGGTGGAAGCCATGGCAAAGGAGAGTGGTATCGGGTGGGAATCCATCAGGTCAACAGTAGCCCACAAGGGGATATTGTGAGATGCATGAAGATGGGCCAAGGGAACAATATTAGCCGCTAGATAGTAAGCCTGAAGATTCGGAACAGACAACCCTCCCTCGGTCTTGCGGGCAAATAAAATCTGTTAATTCTGGGTCGAGTGGAGCTGCAGATAAAAGACAAGCCTCCGCTGATGGATGAGCAATGTATGTGAAGGGACTGGGACTGGTAAAACTCGAAACA